ACCCTGAAGATACCAAGAAAAGAGAGACTGAGGCTTTCACATGACGGTATAATGTACAAAAATTTACCAAATAAACAATATTGGCGAGCATATACCAATTTCGAATTGTTCTTGAAAAACAAACTGGCAAACGTATTTTAATTTCACTCCAAGATAATGCTTGCCATAAGCTATTAAAGGTCGTTAACTCTTCATAAGATTCATCTGGTACTTTGCCCATTTGTTTTTTCAACAAGCAGATATTATTGTACGATGGTAAAACATATTACGTCAACTATATGTCTGATGCGTGGCACCCCTCAGTGGTGTATGTCACTTGAAAAACATCTTATTTTTATGTGCACACCTTTATATGCATGATCGCTCTTGTTTACCGTCGAAGAATAGAGGAAAGAGAAATACAGTCTACCCTCTTATACTATGTAGCACTATTCATAAGTTTGAACAAGTTTATACTTTGCCATTTTAGAGTTATGGTTTCAAAAACTCTGTTAAATATTTTACACGCACTGCAAATAAGAAAGTGCCCGTTTTAAAAAATGCATTCATGATGTCTTAAAGGCAACCTCATATTAGTCCGCTGAAAAAAAATCTCCATATAGAAAGTGTTTTGCTGACCTCTCTTCTCTTTTCAAGAGTTCTACGCAAAACCGCATAAAATGTGGTATTATTGCGAAAAACAGAAACTAAACAACAAATTTATAATAGATCGTGCCTAGCTCAAAATCGAGCATTGTGTGAAAAAAGACAGGGTACCCCTCATGATAAGGACCGGTCTTCCCCTTTTTCTTTTCAACTGAGTTTTTCAAAGGAAAGGGGACGCTAACAGGCAAAATCGGCCCCCTCTGAAACATTCATTATATTCATGGGTTTGATGTACTCTAGGTTAGACGTAACACTGGCATTGAATTAGCGTTTAAAAACTGTTTATTATATGAATTTTGCCACTTAAAATTTTAGCTCCTCCGACAATCGTTACACACTCTTATATATTATGCGAGAATACGAGAATGTAAAAACCGACTCAATTTCTTTTTTTTTACTCTATTACAGAAAAAGAAAAAGTATTTAATGCCTACAAACACAGGTGACTGTGTTTTTCACTGCACATGCGTAAGATGAATATAATATACTAAATGGCAACAAGTCTCTATAACAATTATTCATAATCTCGATAAAGCTTTCCTGCTTAAAGTGAAGGTCACACTCATTTGTTATCCCTATGAAATCGATGAATCATTTTCTCGAAATATGGCATGAAAGATAAATATAGCATCCGTTCAGCATATCTCACTGATTAGTTTTTTGTGATATCCTACCTTTGTGTAAGATGCTCATTCTTGGTATTTCCATACAGATCCTCCAGCTTGTATACGACTTCAAGCCAGCAACACTTGACTGTGTCCATATTGTAGAGTACGTCGAGTTACCTATAGAGCCGTTTCCATTTGTTCTTGACATGGGGTGCATGGATAAATGGGTGTGGCGGTCTAAAAATATTTCCAGACCGGTAAAATCAAGGGTGATGATGCCTGTTCAAGAGGTAATAATGATGAAGCAGCTGGTAATTGTCGTCGCTCGCAAGTGTTGTACGATAGAATTATTAGTCATTTGGACAGAAGTACTTAGGATGGCGCTGGAAAGTAAAGCGAAATAGAGTTCATTATGTCTGTCAGATTTAACTAGAGCAATCATATTCAGTCTTCCACGCAATTAGTTCTCACGCGAACTAGTCTTTTCATATACATACATTGAATTTTTTATATAAACGTTGAGAAAAGTACATCTAAAACTAGATTGCAATTGATAAATTACTTTAAGTGTATGAACATGTGATACACTGTAGACTGGTTTCAAAGGAAAAATTAGTATGAATGTTTATAGAGTGAAGTGTGAGTACTACTTCTTCCATCGCTATCAACTTTATCACATTTTTTTAACTGCTGTAGTTTTATAACATGTGGCCCAGAATAAATGTCTCATTCAGTATTTTGTTAATATCTCTCTTAGTTTTCATCCGTTTGGACTAACTTCTTTTAAAAAGGTTCAACTTTTAATTCTTCATAAAACCATAGATGAATGAATGTTATTCATATTAAAGTACAAAAGTTACCAAAGAGAGAAGAAGATACATTCATGCAGAATTGAGGTAGACTTCCATAGTGTGGTTTAGTAGCTTTTAAATAAATAAATGTTTCTCAAAAAAATAGTCTTTCGCTAAGAGGCATGAATTTTCCAACACTGGGTAAAACTTCACAATGAAAAAATACTATCTCGTTGTTGTAAACGACCTTTGTAAATCGGCTTGTGCAAACGTGACGCCATTACGTTTTGGACGCACTAAAATGAAATTATCTCGGAAACTAAAACAGTTAAAAAGCTCATTTAAACGCCATTCGATGCAGCTCGTCGACCCCCATTTACGATATATAAATGAAATTTTTTGGATGAAGTCTCGAATTTTGAGAATGGTTTTTGTAGGCCGTAATGGCGTTACGAAAAACGTTTTCAAGAAAAAAGATGTTTTTGAGACACATTTATTTATTTAAAAGCTACTAAACCATACTATGGAAGTCTACCTCAATTCTGCATAAATGTATCTTCGTCTCTCTTTGGTAACTTTTGTACTTTAATATGACTAACACTCATTCATCTATGGTTTTATGAAGAATTAAAAGTTGAACCTTTTTAAAAGAAGTTAGTCCAAACGGATGAAAACTAAGAGAGATATTAACAAAATACTGAATGAGACATTTATTCTGGGCCACCTGTTATAAAACTACAGCAGTTAAAAAAATGTGATAAAGTTGATAGCGATGGAAGAAGTAGTACTCACACTTCACTCTATAAACATTCATACTAATTTTTCCTTAACGAGATTATAGTAGTAGGCGCGGATAAGGGAGGAAAAGTTGTAGCGTTAGATGAAGAAGAATATAAGACGAAGATTAAAGCAAAACTAAGCACCAATACGTATGAGATGGTCAGATCTAAACCAGATCCATCTAAGAAAATACATGGAGAGCTAAGCGAATTAGTGAAAAGGTTGAAAAAAGTTAAAGCTATTTCAAATCGTCAAGAAAAGATATTTCTAAAACAAAAACAATTACCCATTGTAAGAGCACAAATAAAAGTGCACAGGGAAGGTTATCCTGTAAGACTGATAATTGCTATGCGAAATACTATTGGTTCAGAGCTAGCAAAGTTTATTACAAGAACCTTGAGTAAAATAAGCAATAAAATGAGATCTATTAAGAATACAAAGGATTTTATTCAGAAGTTAAGTGAAATAGAGGTGAATAAAAATACAACACTAGCTAGCT